CCCCCCCAACACGTCACTGTAAAGCTTCTGTGAGTTGACGAGTCAGTTTGTGTCTCAAGCACAAATACACCTGAGGACAGGATGGATCTGAATAAACGTCTCACGTATCCTGTGTCCGTTATGTCCTCAGAAATTTACACTACACATCCGCAAGTACACGCATGGACAGTAGGGGCAGTGTAGAGGCGGTACGCGACCTTCAGTGTCGCCATGTTTCTGTACCGTGCGTGTTTTACTCTGGACGAACAGGAAGTGAGATGTTTGACACTCAGCCTCTTTCTGTTTTATCTGTCGCTCACTGGTCAGGCTCCGGTCACATGACCCTCCAGAACAACCGGCCTCAGCTCCCAGAGTCGAACACGGAGAGTCAATTACAAGTGTTTGAAATGAAAACTTGACGGACGCGCTTCTCTTATCCAACACTCATAACGTCAAACACTCACTTTCCACGCTTGGTTTGTTTCGAGTAGTAGTAGTAGAAGTAGAAGTAGAAGTATGGAGTAAAAACACACAAATGAGAAATGTAGTATCCGGCCTGGGATGTGACGTTTTTGTTCTGACGCTGTTTCTGCTTCAGCATCAATAAAATGATGCCGTGTTGTAAAATGACAAAAAGCTGCGGAGGCCTGAGCTGAACGCCAGAACGTAACCGGACCCCGGTGGAGCTGAGGTGAACCGAGACGCTGGTTCAGTGTCGTTTCTCCGCTGCGGGGGGGCGATGGCGATGCCTCTGGGCCTCGTGTTTCGGAGCTTGTGAGATTGCTGCGTGTGTCATGGTAGCATAGAGTTGAGCATTAGACATAATACAATGTATTTAATGTAGGAAACGAATGAGCTTCTTTTGCACATAAATTAATACGAATATAAAAGAGTTGGCGTAGAGTTTTTCTGTTTTTCAGATTTACTGTATCGATAAAAATGATTCTTATTTTGTATCTTCTCTGTGGAGCTCCGCTGCTCTGTGTCCGTTCGTCTGTCGCCTTCGTTCATTTAGACAAAACAAGGTTATGATGCACTACAAACACTGCATGTTCAGTTTTTATAATGTATATTGATTTTATGCCATAAATATAATTGTACTGTTTTATTTAGGATAGAAAACTGATTTTTCGATGTTTCCCAAACCAAAAACTGAAAATAAATGTTTGTGTGTGTTTAAAACAAACAAGAAAACTGTGTGCGTATAAACGATCATATAATCAATATATTACCAAGTGTGTTTCTTTAGGCTTTCTGACATTGGAGGGGTGTATATAGACACATTGCTACAACCTTATTAAAAGCATTTGCCAGTAAATAATAATAAAAAGTTGCCTTTAAAGTGTTTTTCTTGTCTTTTGTGCAGATGAATCAACACGTCCTCGTTAATAATCTAAAATCACATCAGCGTTGTGCAGCTGCTCCAGATGTTGACTGAAGGGTGTTAGAAAGTCTGAAACACGTTTAAGATGCTCTTATTTATGTTCACATTCATTCTACGCTCCATCTGTCGAGCTTTAAAGCGAGTTATGAGAAATAGTTTGTCGTGTGCGACAGACCAACACTGGCTCCCAGCCAGAGAGAGACGACACACGTCAAACACAGGAGACTTTCAGGACAATTGAGATTATTTCCAGAATATTTTGCCATTTAAATGCATTTCCAGGTTGTTTCCATGACTGGAAAAGTTCTCTCTGAACTTCCAGGATGCAGGTTGACTCTTACTGGTGCTTAAGTTTTCAAATCAATCCTCAGACAAGCTGTAAAACACGATAAATATATGTTTGAATGGTCGCGATGCGAACAGCAGCAGCAGTTAAATGTCAATATTTAAACCATAGTAAACTTCTGCTCTCATTATCGACAGTTGTTCAAGAACCTCGTGGATTTATTTTGTTTTAGTCCGTAAAATATTTGTACTGAGAAAGTAAAACATCAAAACTTCCTATTGTTCGATAAGAAATCTTCAAAGATCTGTTTTCAAAAAACTTCCTGAACGACTGAAATTATTTAATTAATCGATTCAAATTATTTTTCAGTTTTTCCAGAATTCCCGACGCCCCTGAAGAAAAACAAACAGATTAAAAGAGAGCGATTTTATTTTATTTGACAAAGACAGATGAGACGCTTATCGTTCACTCGGTAATTTACGTCCTCACTTTCTGTTCTTACAGTTTCATCGACAGAAGCGACAAAAAAACACTGATGACAGATTTAAGGTAAGTGTGTTTACGTTTTTTTGTGAAGGAGCTTTGAGACAAAAAAACAAAAGCTTCAAGTGACAACAGGAAGGAGCCAGCAGGGGGCGCCATCGCTGCACCAACTGAAGCAGTTGTGATTCTGTGAAGCAAACTGTGACACGGCTCCGACTCGTTTGATCACAGACAGAAATTTATTTGAACCTTCATCACTTCTGGAGTCATTTGAAGCCGTTTGGTTAAAAATATTCACGTCGGAGACGCAGAGGCTGAAATCTCTGATTCCTCAACGTGTGGAAATGTCGTTTCCTCACACACTTAGAAAAACGACCACGGACGATGAGCGAGCACGGCCGACTCCCTTTAAACTTATTTTACTTGGATGATGTCGCTGCAGAAAGATGATGTAACGACAAAGGTTTCAGTGAAGATTGAAGACGATGATGTCACACAACTGCAGGTGACGGTGTTGTAGGTGGAGGAGCGAGTCCAGCAGGCGGCCGCTTCACACGTGAGGACCAGGCCAATCACAGCGCGGCTCCTCGGCGGCAGGAAATGGCGACAGATGGCTTAGGCCATGCTGATGGGAAAGAGAACAGGCGGTTGAAACAAAACTAAAACACACCAACGCTGCTTCTTCTGCAGTTTCATCAAAGCTGCTTCAGACTCGAGTCCAACTCGAGTCAGTGGCTCCGGACGTTTCCTCCGAGCACGCGTCCGCCTGACATTTGTGTTCTCACCCCAGAGAGAGAGAGCGTGTCTGAGAACAGCTTGTGTGAAGCAGCTTTACAGAAGAGGAAGTTTGTGAAGAGAAACAACAAACGCTCACCTGTCGATGAGCGAGTCCCTCATGCTGGTGGCGATGGCGGAGGGCTGTGCCGTGTCGCTGAGTCTGAACACGCTCTCGATGACGGACAGCTCTGTGCTCGTCGTGTCCAGGCCGCAGAACGCACACCAGTCGTTGACCACCATCCCTGCGGCGATCACCTCGCTGCCCCGGTTCACGGTGCCGGCCTGAACAGGAAATCAGCTTTACTCTCATCGTTCGTTTTAACCGCGGGGTGGCGGCGGCGCTCTCAAACAGGAAGTGTTCGTGTGGTTGCTGTGAACTCCAAGCCAGCCAGATACTCACCACCAGGGGAACTTGGAGCAGAGACGACAGCTCGTCCTGATCTTCTATCGACGTCTTCGGGTGGACCAGACCTCCCTGGTTACTGAACGCACAGTAGGAGCCGACCAGGACCTGCTCTGCTACCGTCTGACGGAAAACCTCCACCTTCAGGGTGTCGGCGAGGATCTCCTCCGTCTCCTGAGCGAGAGAAGGAGACGCAGCAGATCAGAAAAGATAGTTTATCTTATTTACTTATTTTATTCACACGTCTTTTTGACAAACCCACGAAATAAAGAAATAAATGAAAGAATAAAATGTTTGCGGGGTTCATCAGTCTCACCCTGTCCAGGTCGGGGTGGACCAGCGCTACGTAGTCGTTGCAGGCGATGACGTTACCGAGGGCGGAGAGCCGCTCCTCGACCCTCTGGATCTTCACGGCTTCCGGCAAACAGTTTCTGATGTGCTGCAGCTCCTGGTCTGTCGTGTTGCTCGGCACCAAAAGACCGTGACGGTTCCCTGATCACCGGACAAAAACAGAGACGACAAAAAACGAGCGATGAATCAGTGTCGCGCTGTGGACGATGTTTTCAAACCAGAACAGAAATTCAGAAACGAGCCAAACAAGAGCGAGCGCGCGTGTGTGTGTGTTTGTGCGTGCGTGCGTGTTTGCATTACTCACCCACACACATTCTGCCGATGATGCGACAACCTGCTATGGAGGCGTGAACCACCGGGATGGTTTCTGACAGTTCCCCTTCAAACACGCTGTGGACACGCAAACAACATCTCTGTCAAACTGTCGTCTCTTCACAAACCCTGTTTCACCTCCAGTCGTTCACCGTTCACTTCTTCCTGTTGTTATTCCTGGTGAGTCACGTGACTGAAGCTGACTCACCTGGGTTAACACGGTGATGACGTCAGAGGCTCAGGTCTGCTCAGGGTTGCCAGGTCTGATATTACTCCACGGAATTGAGCTACGTGTTATTTTTTATGTTTTACTGTGGATCAGGTTCGGAGTTCTTCCAGATCAACACCGAGCTGAAGTGATTTTGTTTCGGTGGACTCGTGGCACATTTACAAACACAAACTAAGCCTGGACGACATGAGGTCAGATTTGATGTTTCGTGTATTTACGGTCGTTCCTTCGGCCTCCTCGTGTGACATCACAACCACTGATGTAGAAGTTGTGGATCATCAGCTCGTGAACAACAGACCAACACAAGGTGACTGACGGCGCTTCTCAAAAGTTTCTCATTCTGATGATCACATGTTCTGCGTTGTCGCGGTGAAAGTAATTTGAATGCCTGTTTGATATATTTCTCTTTTGTTCTTGTTTCACATTGTTAATTAGAAGAGTAAGATAAAACAAAGACTGTCAAATGATTCCAAGGAAAATACAGGAGGGGGGGGGGGCACACTTACTAACGGTGATGCTGCAGAACTTTAGAAGCAGAGATTTTGGTTTGGCAGCTAAAAGTTTGGACTGCTTTGTAGCGCAGACCTGGCAACCCTGGCCCCGCTTCCTGCACTGATGACTGATGGATTCGTTGATTAATTAAAGGTTATTAAATTATATCTAGAGCCGAAGTGTCACGTGGCAGCTGAGGTGTCTGCAGGGGACCAGGAGCAGCTCTCACCTGTAGAAGTTCTCGGAGCCTCCTATCGCCACCAGGCAGTAGGTGTTGGTGAGTTTGGCGAAGCAGCCGATCTCGTTGTTCTTCTCGAACGAAGCTCTGACGGCCATGATGCGCACGAGGCTCCGGTGAGACGCTGGAAACACAAAGATCACGAAGAGACTTCGAGGTCTGAAACACGAGGAATCACCACAGAGAGCTTCGCGGCCTGCAGAGCGTGGTGTCCCCCCTTTGCTTCCGCACGTGTCCACTTCCGCTTCCGGTGTGACGCGATGACGTAGGGACGCACCGTGCGTCAGAAGACAGCGACAATTTGACGACAAAAACTTTAAAGTGAGATTTTACTGAAGCTTAAAATAAATGAAACTGCCCATCTGTCCTCACACATATTCAAATGTTGAATAAAAATAAATTAAATATATGAATCGTTTTCACACTCAAGTAATTTGCTTCAGTGTTTTGATGCATTAAAAACAACGAGTGAAGAAAATAAGAGAAAATATAAGAAGAGAAATAAAAATAAGACTAAAGAGATAAAATATGTGAAACAACTGATGATCTGATGAGAATCCTGCTGTGTGTATGTGTGTGTGTGTGTGTGTGTGTGTGTGACTGTGTGTGTGTGTGTGACGTGTGTGTGTGTGTGTGTGACTGTGTGAATGTGTGTGTGTGTGTGTGACTGTCTGTGTGTGTGTCACTGTGTGTGTGTGTGTGTATGACTGTGTGTGTGTGTGACTGT